TTTGCTTTTCCCTATTTATGATTTTGTATTATTTTTCTTTATTCAAATTTACATTTTCTGAAAATATATTTTCATCAATTTTTAAGATTTATAGCTTTATATAGCTTTTTTCATGAAAATATATTTTCATCAATTTTTATAATATCTTAATTCTAAAAATCTAATTTTCAATTTTTTCCCATTTTGGTAATTTTAATTTTATTTCTATTTTCTTTATTTATATTATTATATTCTATAAATTTTATGATATAGTTTATCGTTTAATTTTAGTGATTTTGGGTATAGGCTTTGGAGATTGTCTATTTCTAATGAAAATGGATTAATATTATAATTTTAAGTGATATAATGGAGATGGTAAAAAATGTACGTTACTATGTGGTGCTGGTGCTGTATGTTACTATGTGGGGATGTTATAACTTATAACCATGGGAGGTCTCGGGTCCAGCTCATCTGGTTCCCGACTCACCCTCCTATACGGGATGTCTCGGGTTCAGTGAAACAAAAAACATAAAAAAGAAAAATAATTAAAAAATAACCATGGACGGCTTGGACCAAGTAGTCACTGGCAGTGACACCATCCAGCTGCGATGGTCCAGTGCGGGGACTGCAGATTTATTCATAGCGGTTGTGTAGGGTTTCAGTCTTGGGGCAGGTTCATAGGGCTAGGGTTCTGCCTCGGTGACATCACTACTTATTGTCCAGTGAAGGGGACTACGGATGTCAAGTGAAGGGGCTGTTGGTGGAGCTGTCATTGGCGGTGAAGGTGGTGTCACTGGCAGGGCCGGAACAAAATTTTTTTTGGGAAATTTTTTTACTTGAAATTTTTTACCCTTGATATGTAGACATTTTTAAAATTGGGGTGGGCCAGGGCCGGAGTTGCTCCCCTAGCTATGCCACTGGTCACTGGTCATGGGGGCTGGCGGTGTGACTCAGCTCAGGCGGTGGTATCACTGAGTGAATAGGAAAGTGGGGTCTTTGGGTGCCGAGGCAATGGAGTCATGACCACGGCAGTGGGTTTCTTAGCACCGGGGTAGTGTGGTCACTGGGGTGTAGGGGTGGTGGAGTCACTGATTCATGGGGGTGGTGGGTTCACTTTGTGTTGGGGGCTGGAGGTCACTAACAGTGTATTGTCAATGTCACTGAACCGGTAGCAGAGTAAATGAGATAACAAAGTCACTACGCGATGCAATCACTGTTTGAGGCATCGCTGCGTCAGATGTCACTTTGTTGGATTTTTTCGGTTTTAGGATTTATTTAATCACTTGGTTAAAAAACCCAACATTTTAGTAATATTATTGGAAAACCCCTTTATCTTGTAGTCCCAGTTAGTCTTACAATTTAACATCTTTATGTACTTGAAGTATTGGATCTCGAATCTGACTACTTGACTTCCAAACTTTCTATATATAAATATAGATAATAGTTTGTATTGTATTTGAGCGAAAAAATTCAAAATTTAAAATGCCAAGTGATTTTGGTTCCATACACTACTTGGTAATTATTACTCGTATTGTAGTTACTTTTTGGTCCCAACACGATTTTAGTTTTACGTTTAGGTCTGTTATATTATGCAGTTTCTGTTATTCTCTAACTTGAGTATCAATTTTTAATCATATTCAGATTTGGGTTTTACAATTTTATTGCATGTTTTTTGGACGGTGAAAGAATTTCGGTCTTAAAATGATTTGAGTAAAAGGATAGTGAAAGATTTTTTCCCCTTCAACATCTCAACACATATGAACATAGCTAGAAAATGTAGGGAAAAATGCACGCGTGGACTTGTTTGTAATGGTTTTCTGTCAAATTTTAGATGTATTTGGTGTTGGAATGTGATAGAAAAGTTAGGAGATTGGGGTAGTGTGGTCACTGGGGTGTAGGGGTGGTGAAGTCACTGATTCATCGGGGTGGTGGGTTCACTTTGTGTTCGGGGCTGGAGGTCACTAACAGTGTATTGTCAATGTCACTGAACCGGTAGCAGAGTAAATGAGATAACAAAGTCACTACGCGATGCAATCACTGTTTGAGGCATCGCTGCGTCAGATGTCACTTTGTTGGATTTTTTCGGTTTTAGGATTTATTTAATCACTTGGTTGGAAAAACCCAACATTTTAGTAATATTATTGGAAAACCCCTTTATCTTGTAGTCCCAGTTAGTCTTACAATTTAACATCTTTATGTACTTGAAGTATTGGATCTCGAATTTGACTACTTGACTTCCAAACTTTCTATATATAAATATAGATAATAGTTTGTATTGTATTTGAGCGAAAAAATTCAAAATTTAAAATGCGAAGTGATTTTGGTTCCATACACTACTTGGTAATTATTACTCGTATTGTAGTTACTTTTTGGTCCCAACACGATTTTAGTTTTACGTTTAGGTCTGTTATATTATGCAGTTTCTGTTATTCTCTAACTTGAGTATCAATTTTTAATCATATTCAGATTTGGGTTTTACAATTTTATTGCATGCTTTTTGGACGGTCAAAGAATTTCGGTCTTAAAATGATTTGAGTAAAAGGATAGTGAAAGATTTTTTCCCCTTCAACATCTCAACACATATGAACATAGCTAGAAAATGTAGGGAAAAATGCACGCGTGGACTTGTTTGTAATGGTTTTCTGTCAAATTTTAGTTGTATTCGTTGTTGGAATGTGATAGAAAAGTTAGGAGATCGGTTTTCCGTGGCCACAGCATGTTAGTACACTTCTTGGTTTTTAGTTTTTGTAGAAAAGGCCAATCCACAAGTCAATAACAAATTTAATACCCCCAACTAAATATTGACATTGACATGGATTAATAATCAATTCTCTTTGGGTGACATTAGACCTGTACAAAACCGGGCCGGCCCGCCTGGCCCGCCCAGCCCGCCCGCACAAATTAGCGGGCTTGGGCATATATATTTACCCACCGGCCCGGCCCGGGCCCGGCCCGCAACAACATATGGGCGGGCTTGGGTTAGGGTGTAGGCCCGTTCGGGCTGATAAGCCCGGCCCGCTACATTTAGTATATATACATATATATTTTTATATATACTAATTTATGTATTTATTTACATGTACACATGTATATTTTTATATTTACTAATTTATTTGTATACATATTTATAGTTTATTATGTTTAAATTTAAGTTTTTAGTTGTTAACAAATAGTCCAACCAATATAATATCTATTTATGTACTTAACGATAATACTTTGTGCATGAATTTTAAATTTTAGATATAGTTTCTCATTATTATTTTTGTGTACATATTTTTTGTGTATGTGATGAAAGGCCTATATACATTATAAGTGTATTAGCAATTTTTTAAATGTTGTAATATTATTTATAAAGTATTAAATAAATTATATAATTTTGAAAAATTTAAAGTCTTCCCGGGCCCGGCGGCCCGGTGGACTACCCGGCCCGCTCTTACGGGCGGGTATGGACATGGGGTTAGGTCCGTTTTTGCGGGCCGGGCCGGACCCGCCCACACACGATGGGCAGAAAACTTATGAAAAGCCCGGCCCGAGCCCGGCCCGAACCCGCTTTTGTGCAGGTCTAGGTGACATGTTAGTCTAACTGGAAGGAATGCACATTATTAGTCGGATCAGAATTTAATTGTCGGAGTATAAACTGTAAAGTCTATCTCTCATATTTACATGACATTTGCATCACATGAACCTAATTCCATCATTTGCAATGGAGCCAAAGATTCATTATTTTTTGGCTTGAGAATATGATGGAATATAGCAAAATGGCTCACTAAACTTTTTGCGCTTCTTTGTTATGAAGCAGCAGTCAGTCCATGCAATTTTGGACGCGATTTTCACTATGGGTCATCCGGAAACAGTCTCTCTGTGCTTTAGTACAGGGGTAAGACTGCGTACATCCGACCCCCTACCCCACCGTAGGTGGGAGCCTTTGCGGCACTGGGGTAAATGAAAATGATGAAAATGATGATTTGCATCACATGAACCGTAATATGAATTGAATTTGCCTCCTATCCCTTCTATTTCATGTGTTATACTTGGAATAATTCTAACTACACATTAAAATTAGACACTAGATAATAAGAGATTATGATACCACGTGCCAACTCTTTTAGTTTTGTTTCGACATTAGACACTAATATTCATGGGGATTGGTTGAAAAATAAATTTAATTCTTCTTGCTTAATTTAAATCATTATTAGTGATTAAAATTAACATTTTGGAAATTGAATAAAAGTTGAAAAGAGTCAAATGAGCCCTTCTACAATTTTCAATCCATCACTTAAGCCCATATACTAAAAAAGGTGTTATATAAGTTCACTTACTTTAAAAACGATCAATCTGGACTTTTAATTGATTTTTAACTTGTAATAGCATATTTTTTAGATTAGAAAATCTAAACAATTCTTATAATTCGAATAAATATAAATAAAAATGTTATGATTTTAGAATGTCAAAGTCTATATTTTTTGCATTTTGGAATTATTTATATATTCTCCATCTTGTTAAGAGTTACTACGTATAACATTTTACTTTTATATTTTCACATTTTTTGTTTTTCATTTTTTATATATTTTTTAAACGTTTTAAAATTATTTATCGATTTTTGAATCTATACTGTCTTTTTACATTATCATTACATTATTTTTCAAGTTTATATGATTTTTATAAGATTTATCAATTGTTTTAATTAACTTCTTTATAAAAATAACCTGATATAGCATGTTAAAATGGCTTGATTGCTTGTGACTTTAAAGTAAGCATACTTTTACGATACTATTTTTAGTATAGGGACTTGAGCGCTGAATTGAAAATAGTAAAAAGGTCTATTTGACCCATTTTCCATGCTAATATTGAATCATAGAGTTAGAATATGACAATAATTTGGTGCTTAAAATTAGAACCGAAGAGAGAGTTGGATTGACTACAAAAATGTGTATGTGACAAAAATGTGTATGTGACAAAAATGCTATAAAATGGTGTGGTAATATGAGAATGATAAACTGGTGTGTATTTTGGATTTACAGGGCTTATTACAATATTTTCATTTGGTGGAAGGCTGCCTGGAAATGATTCAAGCACATCAACTAAGAAACAACTTTACCTACGATTGGATCATCCGGACCAGGGTTGATGGATACTGGTCCGCCCGCTTGCAGCCTGAACATTTCATTCCGGGCCGGTATGTTGTTCCATCCGGTTCAGCATACAATGGGTTGAATGATCGTTTCGGGGTCGGAGATTGGAACACCTCTGTGGCGGCACTCTCGCGCCTCTCCTTGATTCCCAAACTCGATGCTGCCGGATATGAGCAGCTAAACTCAGAGGGTGCATTCAAGGCCCAATTGATGACCCATAATATTTCATATTTGACCCGTCGCATCCCGTTCTGCGTTGTGACAGACCGTGAGTATGATTACCCCCCAGGCCGTTTCGATGTCCCAGTAGCGGCCATTTCTAGCCGGGGACCATTGAGTGGAGCAAAATGCAGGCCGTGCACTGCGGTTTGTACTGGGCCATGTGTGGCCTTAGTGATGGGCAGTCTTGACAAAGGTTGGAGCTGGACAGATTGGGCTAGTGACTCGCTACAGCTATGTGACGCCCACGCTGATTGGGAGCACGGCTGGGAGAATATCTTTGACAGAGCCGCTGGCAAGAAGCTGGCTTCTGCCAGAATGCGAGCCAAGGGCTTGGGTTTTGGACGATGTGTTAACGACTTTGAGGTCATGAAACAGAAAACGGCTTCATGGCTTGCTCCTCCAGGTGCAGAGATTTGCCGGCTCGGCTTACCAACTGTATAAGGCCGCTTCATTTTTTGTACAGGAGTTTCCTGAGCTGAATTTCATTTTTCACCGTCGTTTTTTGGTACACGTAAGCTGTGTAAGCTGTGTTGTTCCCGAGCTGAATATGCATACTACTCGATCATACAAGTAGAGAGTAGCTGACTTACTCACTAAGCTATTCAATGCATAATTCCTGACCTATACAAATACTCGATCATATCCTACATCATACATATTTAAGTCACCTCTTATTGTGATACTTAGTGTTATTAATATATATATATATATATATATACATATACATATACATATATATTCTTAAGTCCTTAAGTATTATGGTCTCGTGGAATAGATCGAGTGCAACATTATTGATTATTGTGTTTGACTTCTTTTATTAGGTCTATCAGTCTGTTGTCATGCTTATCAATAAAGTTTCTACGTAGTCGGGCCTACTATCGTTAAGAGCTCAATGCATAGCCCCAAACGGGGCTCAATCAATGAGGCCCAGTTTGGCCCACCGGCCCGATTCAATTCAGTCGGCTTGTTTCTGGCCCATTAAGGTAATATTGTACCCCTCCTCCCCTTTTGTATAAATAGAAGGCTTCCACTCGTTATTAGGGGATCCCTCTTCTTCTCCTCCACCACCACCCTCTCTCTAGAGAAGCTCCCAACTTTATTAATGTTTACTAGCCCTACTTTTGTACAATTGTACAATGTAAATGTAAATGGTGAAGAGAGATGAATAAAATGAGAGTGATTGAGACATTAGCCCAAAAAATCTTGTCCTTTTCTCTCTTGTTTTTATCTCTTTCGGGTTTCCACATAAAAATCCAAGTGCTCATACATATTTCTACAGTTTTAAACATTAATGTACTGTTTCGTGTGAGATTTATCTCAACATTAACGTCGTTCGTGGGAAAAGTTGAAAATGAGGCTAGAGGAAACTCCACAGTTTGACGACAAAATTCCATGCACCGGCTGGCCCAACGGGAAGTAGCCCAGAAGGAGGAGGGGCAACGAGGGGAGGCACAGAACCACCATTGTCGGCAACCTGATTACCACCGTTGCTAGCAGGAGGCATCTGTATGGCAGCTTGAATGAGACCATAGTCCTGAGATCACCCGCTGATATGGCAGCTTGAATGAGACCATAGTCCTGAGATCACCTGCTTGTAGAGGCTGTGGGTGGGCCTTACCTACGCATCCCATGTAATAGAATTGTGAGAATGCAGATCTCAATTTGATGCGAAGGGTTTCTCTATATATACTCATCTTGGAGCTTCTTGTAAACCCTAATCAATATTATACACATCCTCCCCTTCCCCTCTTGCTCAATCTTTCCTAAACTATATGTTTGGATACCCCATTTATCCATCTGTATACAAACTACAAAAATGATCTTTGTACCCACTCTTATATCCACTTTTGTACCCACCTATGTTTGTGAATGATTTTTTTCTGTGAACCCCGATTCAAAGACAAAAAAAACCATTCACAAATATGGTGGATATAAGAGTGAGTACATCAAACATTGTTGTACAAACTATTGTAAAAACTGCTACAAAAAGAAGAAGAAAACTGCAACAAAATCCTACTGTTTTTTTTTTTAAGATTTGTTCATTCTAAAACAAATCATCAAGTCCTAAAATCAATGGCATAAATTAGGAGTACACTTCTGAAACACAATAACAGCTGCTCCGCAATCAAATATTCTTTTACCACAAAAAGATGCAAGTGAATTGAGATTTCAAATCTCACTTATTTCATTCACAATTGTATTTCAGAGCATATGCTAGCTACATTTAGCTCAATAAAAACTTTATTTTAAGACATATGGTAAATAATTTTTAAGTAATCAAGCAATCTGGGGTAATTGACCCAATACAAGGTACGCCCAATACCTGCGTGAAGAAATGGAACCAGGAATCCGCTAAGATCCCAAGATCGCTCGGCCCAGCCCGGGCGGCATTCGCCGCATGGCACCATGTCCTTGGACCGTTTACACTGGCAACCATGTAGCTCTCAATCGGCAGGCTATGTTGCATGGAATTGACACGAAAATCATTAGGAAACGGGAAACGTCAACTTTTTCTCAAAAACGCTTATTTGGAGAGTTTCCAAAGAGTTTTCGGAAGTTTCCAAAACGGGAAACATACTCTTTCTCGAGAGTTTCCGTGCTACATAGCCGACATGCTCTCGGATTGGTTGGCGGGAAAGCAAGGATTTTGGCGGGAAACACATTAAATGCATTAGATATGCAAGATTTGGTGGTTGAGGATTAGCCACTTATAATCCTCCACATCATTACTACCACATACCCCATGATAGTATAAATAGTAGCATTTATTTCATTGTTAGGGGTGACAACTTGTACTCTCTAGCTTAGCCTTCTTTGATCTTCTGTAATAACAACTTGGAATAGACGCTAGGTGCTTGGCTTGGTAGGGTGTGTTGTAATGGTTTTCAATACTTAATAGAACTCGGTCCACTTTTTTTTTTGCTTTTTTTTTTTAATGGAAAATTTATTAATGAAAAGAAACATTGAAAGTACAAAGAGCGTGAGGGAAAAAAAGGAAAAAAAAAAGAAGAGGAAGAAAAAAAGTAAAGGAAATAAAAAATGAACAAGCAGGAGAAGAGCCCAACCCAAAGTATTGTAAGAGAAATCCCTACTTAAAAATCTCGATCCCTGAGTAGAATCTTCAAAGACCCGTTTGTGTTTGAGATCTTGTTCTCATAAGATGAGATCTCTGATTCTTCTTTTTGTACATTCTCTTTTGGGCATTCAAGTTTTGTGTGGCTAAACAATTTTCTCGTGTAACAAGCAAAGCTTTTTGACAAATAGTCTCATTCGCATCATAGTCCCAAAGATCGCTCACCGTCGAAATATGAACCCTCTTCTCGTTTTCCGAGACATGACCAAGGAATTCATCACCTGAAAGAGTAGAGCATGATCCTCCTAAAGCCCCTTCAAAATCAATATCTTCAATAAGATTGCCCGAATAACCTGTGTTCGCATAATCTCATGGAACCACATGACCGTCCAAAATACCAAAGGACTCTCCTTTCTCATTCTTATCATCATGCTCCGAGTCATTATGTGTTCCAGAAGAATTTCGTTCACCAGTGGGCCTCAATCTGTCATGGTTGCCCAAAGCAGAGAGCAAAATTCTCTCAAATTCACAGAGCAGAAAGAGAGAAAGTGATGCCACCCCATTTGTTAAGGTCGCCTGAAAGAATTCCTTCAAATTAGCTAATAAATCAGAATCAGCGACATACTCAACGCTAAGAACCTCATCGATAGTAACCAAATCCAAAGAATGGTTTGAAGAACCAAAACATTCAATATCAGCTTGTAGTAAAGCTCATGAAATGGAGGTTTCCGTTTCATAATTAAGGTTATTCCCAATAAAAGGAAAAAATTCTAAATCATTATTGCCGACCACCTGGTCATTATTGAAAGCCTTACTTAGAAGTATGTTCAACCCCTAATGTATTCTCAGCGTTTGCTTTCAACAACGCAAATACCCTTGTAATTCCTGTAAGAAAAAGATTTACCCCATGCCCATTCCGACCCTCCGGAATAAATAGAATCATTTCCTTTTTCAATGATTCGGATAAAACCTCCAAAGTAGTTGGTATCATACATAATGATAAGTGACTTATTCGGCTCAAGCTTAGTAGAAGATTTATCAGATAAAATCTTGAGAATGGAGTTGTTTAACCATTTAACCCCATCAACATTAAAATCTAGTACATATGTGATTCCTTTCTTGGTCTCAGAAATACGAATACTGGTTCAATCCATAACTTTAAGAGGCCGTTTGGCAGCACTCTTTTTCGGCTTATCAGCTAACTTTTTAACCAAACACGTAATTTTTGCTTTCGCGCGCTAAATTGTGTAATAAGCAGAAAAAGTAAGGTTGAAGTTACTTTTCTGGCTGTATTGGCTGAAGTTACTGTAGATGATCATTTTAGCTATTTTTATATATAATTTTTTCTTTATTTTACTACTAGAATATATTTTAAAAATATTTTTTTCTTAAATCAACAGCAGATGTGTATATAATATGTACTAGATTATCCTGTTAAGATTCATGTGGTTAAACAAGACATAAGTTACTTAAAAAGCATTAGTTGATGTGTACCTTTAACTTTAACCACTTTACCTTCAAATAATATCATAAAATGTTATACTACGTATATCATATCCTTTCTTATTTTCAAATAATTTTCCTTTAATTTGTCATTTCTTAAGTTTTAATGTATCAATATTTTTTTCTGGAGCACTTATAGTTATTAAATCAAAGTTATCTTTTCATTATCTAAAATTGGAATTAGAATATAATTTAATTGTCATCGTGTATGTAGTATGTACTAATGGAACTTTTTAAATAAAAATTAGCCACAGAGCCCAACACTAGCAAAAGAATTCGCCCCGCTACACTAGCGATTTTTTTCCCGTTCCGCTTACTAGCGAAATTTTTTCACTCCCTACATTATTGAAAATTTTCGCCCCCTTTGACTCGAAATCCTGGATCCGTCCCTGCTTAGCGCTCCTCAAAAAACTAAAGGGGAGTCAAGCCTTCGGGATTCCGAGCCTTTTAACTGCTTATGGAAAAGGTCTTGGAGAAGATTTATTCTGAATCTAGATTGCAACTATCAACAGAAACTCAAGAACCCGACAATTAAAAAATAGATTTGGCTAAGAATATATATAAAAGCTCGTTATGAATCAAAAGTTTTTAATTCAGCAGATGAGTTCTATTTGCATAAATAGCAATAGCAAGTACTTTGCCTCTGTTGGAATGGCGGTAGTAAGGATCAGTGTGATTTTATCTGCCTTGTATAGGAAGTTAAATAGACATGACTATCCTATGGAAAGCAGAAACTCAATGTTGATCTGAAGATCAAACTAGATGAGCTCGAAAAGTTTAGTGAACATCAATAGTGAAAACTTGCCCTTAAAAGCAAACTCTACAAGAAGAGTATTTGTTGTTTATATAGAATATAATAATATCGAATCCAATTGCTAGAAACTATGTTGCACAATAATTCCATATAAACCTTAAAACCTCAGCCAAACTTCACCCAAAATAAAACAAAGGGCAAATTCAATAGAGCTAGTTTGATGTGATTTTACTAAATTTCAAGTAATCAATTTTATAAATGCAAATCATAGTTTTGTGCCCTATAGTTGAAGTTGAAATCTCGAAATTTCATCTAAACAATATTAATTTACCATTCAAA